ATTTTTTAAATATTTTTGAGCCAAATCAGATCGTAAACTCAGTGAAATAAAGCGCCTGACTCTGTTTTGAAGGCTCTAAAGTAGGCAAAAGAAGCTTAATGACTTGACTCGTACCATTAAAAAACGATCAAGGGGTGGTGGTGGGTACTAGGCAGAGTGTCACAAAGTGTTTTTCACACGGCAGCATCGTAATGAGCATCTTCTAGAAGATAGAAAACACTTCGCTCTGATTTTCAGAAAAAACGTTTTTCCAGAGCCCTGGATCTCCAGAAAACCTTCTGCAAGGTTCTGAAAAAACGTTTTCATTAAATTAGAATTCAGCATACTGGAAAACCTAGAAAAACAATTTTCTCACAAAAAATAGGCATCTTAAAGGCCATTTTAGCTTCTAGAAACCCAATGATCTCTAGAAAATCCAGTTTGAAATACTTTAAAGCTCTGAAAAGCACTCCTATGGAAAGAGCATATACGAAAACCTATAAAAATAGTTTTTTGAGGTTCTTAGAATGTTTTAAAACCAAATGTCCACGCGCCTATCAAAAACTCAAGCAACTTCCTTCATATGGATTAGCACACTCGACAATCTCGAAGATTTTCTGTTTTTGACGAAGGGTATCGTTAAGAGTTTAAGAACCCTGATGCAACTTCTTGCACCGAAGATTTGGAAAAAATGTACAATCATATGTGATCATAGGCTCATCCTTGAACAGCTAGCTGTGCTCAAGAAAGGAAAATTTTCAAAGCTATTACGAGTATGAAAATCTTCACAGCTACCCTAGAGATCAAATCTTATATAGGATTACTATAGCAATCTTATACAATATCTGCAAGAATCTTATTGAAATCTTACAATACTCCAGTCAATAGAAATGCGTACTGTGATTATAAGATTCTGATGTAAGAAATTGATAAGATTTCTATCAGATACTTATAGTCAAAACAAAAGAAAAAAAAACGTTTATTTTGTTGCCTGGTGGACGAGGGCAAAGTTTTGAGCTTTGAAATTTTTGCACATTTTTTATAAGACACTATAAGATTATAAATATCTCATTAAAAAAATTATAAACTAAAATCTTACCAAAATCTTATTAAATTCTTATAAGATTCTTATATTGCAAATTATAAGAATCCTATAATTACAGTATGCATTTCTATCGACTGTGGTATATAAGATTTTCGTAAAATTCCTATAAGATTCTTATCTGATTTTCATACTTTCGGTCGACTAGGGTATATGTAAGGAAGTGTGAAACAAAACGGTGATTTTTAGAACTCAAGAAATTTCAAGACGTTCAAAATCTTTGATTCTTGGAATTTCTTGACTTTCGTAAGTTTTCTTACCAAAACCTTGAGTCAAGATCCTGTTAAAAAAATTCAAGAAGCCTTTTTTTCAAGACCATGGTTACAAGAACCCAGGTCAAAGAATCTTGCTGTAAGCTCTTATAAGATTCTAGTACGATTCCGTCTGATTTCGTAGGATTCGTATAAGAATTTGTAAGATTCTGTAGAAACATCTAATTCTTGATGTAAGATCTTATAGTAAGATTTTATCAGATTTCATAAGATTCTTGTATGATTTTTATAAGATTTTATAAGATGAATTCGTTTCTATGAGTTTCCGTAAGATTTTATAAGGTTGTGTAAGATCTTGATCTGACTTTTTGACCTGGGAAGTTTTACTAAGGAAGATTATTGGAACAAAATGGCGAAAAAAATTTTCAAAGGGAAAATAAGATTGGTTTCAAAATTTTTCTTAAACTTTTGGTAATACGCCTGGCCAAAAATAGAAAATCCTCTGAGTTATTCAGTATTGTGAATACGAGAAAGCACCTTTCTGGGACTCTAAATGAACTTTATTTTTCTGTTGGTCATATAAATTATTTCCTTAGCCTTAGAACGTTGCTGCCATCTAGCCTCTCATGACTGACCAGATTTTTCTACCTCTTTATTCTTTAAACGCTACAAAGTGGTGCAAATGATATCTGCACTGCAAAACAATTCATCTTCTCTGTGCCTAAATCTGATAGTGCTTGCTTCAAATTCGATTGGCTATTTGATAAGCAGATTGAGCAATCATTCTTTCCTGACACACAAGCGTGTCAGTTGTCAATATCAATATATTTTATCACGAAATCTACTATTCTAGTTTTTGAGGAACGCGAGTTTCAGTCTTTTATTTTCGAATCTCATTTACTTGACGTCTCTCACTAGCTCTAAACGAAGCAAAGTGATTGTAATCAGTCCACGATGTCAGAAATTACCACGGACTCCGCCGGACAGAAAATAACGAATCCACTTCACATTCCTGTCAAATCGGATGAAAATGTTGTTCTTTCCATTGCTGATCAAGCTGCATGGTTATTATCTGCTCGTCCTGCCTTTGAATTACAACAAGCTGAACAAATTAGTTTTCTCGCTCATCTTACTCAATCTCCTTTGACTCTCAATCAACATTTTAATGTGCTTCAACTTCCAGCAGCAGATTTAGTTCATTATGCCTATTCTATCTTTAAACATTCTGGCTGTTTGATCGTGGTTCCAACTGTTAATCTAGCTCAATGGTATCTGTATTTGACGACAATTATGCACAATCATTCACCTGAAAATCATTATCACAATTGGTACCATGCCGTTCATGTATTATTAAATTGTTATCGATACGTTTATCCATTGTTATCTCAATTACAACCTCTGGATATCTTTGCTCTATTGTTAGCAGCCCTTAACCATGATTTAGATCATTGTGGTATAAGTAATACTGCTTTAATTAATCAAGTAGATCCTTTAGCAGTGAAGTATCACAAGGTAAGCCCATTAGAACAACATTCTATTGATCGAGCCTTAGAAATATTGAATGATGAAGCACATGGTACGGCATTGTTGCAAGCAGTCATACAACCGAATAATAATGGTGCTCCTGTTACTAATAATGAGCATAATGCAGCTAAATCTCGTGTCATTGAAATCTTCCGGAACTCCATTTTAGCAACGGATATTAGTCGTACTGTAGATCATGAAGCCATTTTAACTCACTACTTAACCTTCCATAATCATTTAGATTACACTGATAGTAATCAATGTTTGCAATTGCTCACAATAATACTGTTATGTGGTGATATTGGATGTGTGTGTGAACCGTTTTATCAAAGTATGCAGTGGTGTGGACGATTATATGAAGAAATGCAATGTCATCGGAATTCTAGACAATCGAATGATATTGCAAAAGTTGTGTTTCAACCACAATCAAGCTTAGAAAATGATCAAGGTCTTTATTACAGTCTTGATAACAAGTTGATTTTACCTCCTTCTGGTTCTTTATCTGAGTATTATACTAATCAATTGAAGTTTTTAGAATATTATGCCATTGCTTTATATGCTCGTGTATCAGAGCCTCCTTCCTGTAGTTTGGGTCATTTATCTCCTTATACTACTCGTCTACGTCAAAATTTAATACAATTAGCACATAGTTATTTCTTATATGAACCATCACTCGGTGTATTGGTGAAAACCTTGACCTCATTTTCTTCTCCATCATGATAGATTCTACCAAACTGTGATTATTGATACTATATTTTATTGATGTATCTTACTGCAGATTCAGAATATAATTTATAAGAACAAAAACATAGGTTTACGATGTTGTATAGTTTCATAAATACTATATAATAAATGCATTCTATGTAACCTGAAAATACTTGATAAAAATCGAGACTTAGATTCTAGCATGTAGGCGTACATAGAGCTTACGACCTATCATATTTTCCATAACTCTTTGTTTTTCGTTCATTCATATAATTTTCAATTTTTATATTGTTATTTCAGATGAAAATTATTTTTCCGTGATTAGAATTCGTTCATTTATATATTAATTTTGATAGTAACGTTTTTATGAACGAATTTCTTTGTTTACTTTTACATTAACAAATAATAGATGAATAGTGCAGGTAAAATAGACACTAATTTCGTCTTGTGTCTTCCAGTTATATTAGAAATTTTTATTTATATATTTAGCACTTTCTTTAGCTGCTAGTATGTTTGATAGTGCAATGGATAACGAACATAATTTGCCAGATACAGATAGTGAATTGTACATACTTGGTATAAAATATACAACACCAAATGGTATATTAGTAAAAAAATATTTGCAATAGTTTGTGTTTGTCTTCATTATATTTATTTATTTTCAGATACATATGCAATTAGCGATGATGTACTTAGTCGATACTGGTTTACTTATCGGACAAATTTTACTCCTATTGGTAAGATGAAATAAAATTTAAATTAAAAGTAGCTATCTAGTATATTTTTCACTATGTGTAGGTGGTCCCAATGGTCCGACAAGAGACACTGGTTGGGGTTGTATGATGAGATGTGGACAAATGATGTTAGCAGAAGCATATCTTCGTTTTTTTCTTCCAGCTGGACGATGTATGTATAATGACAAAAAATAATCTTCATAGAATTTAGAATCATTTTTCTATTCAAGATTTTCGTTGGCATCCAAATTTAACTGATAAAGCATACTGGGAAATATTAAATATGTTTATTGATAGACGACATTCCTCCTATTCTATACATCAAATCGGTTTGTAGTGGTAAATTTTCGGTCTTGCTGTTCCAGAAGAAGACTGATTGTTTTTAATATTGTACAAATGAGACATATGTTCTACTCTTTTTTTTTAGCACAAATGGGTGCATCAGAGGGAAAAGACATTGGTCATTGGTTTGGACCAAATACAATTGCACAAGTTTTGAAGTAAACAAAAAAATATTTCTAAATTATTTTTCTTTCAAAAGAAAAATCTCCCACGAAGTAAATCTAAGCACTTGAAGAAATATTACATATTTTTTCTTAAAAATAATTTTTTAACTATTTGACTAACTTCCATAGAATAAAGTGTTGTTGTTGTTGTTTATTAACAAACAAAAAGTCGGTATCTCTGCTGACCAGAATAGACTAAACTCTCGGATAAATAATTGTTTTTCCTTTATATTTAGACGTTTAGCATCAAATGAATTTGATAAGCAAGTGGTTGTACATGTTGCAATGGACAATACACTCATTATTGACGATGTTTGTAAGTGTAACATCTCTAAAATTTGTTATTTACTATCTTATTTGCTTCCCTTTTTCAGTAAAACAATGTCGTCTTGGTTCAAAACAGCAGTCACAGTCGATTATTGCACGAAATAATAAAAAATCCGAACAGCAATCACAACAACAATCGACAAATTGGAAACCACTGATATTGATTATTCCACTAAGATTAGGTTTGAGTGATGTCAATATAGAGTATATTGAACAATTAAAAGTATGGTTTGTTGTTTTATTTATTTATTTATTTTATTCATTATCAAGACAATATTTATTATTTAGATCTGTTTCAAAATACCTCAAACTCTTGGATGTATTGGTGGAAAGCCAAATCATGCACATTATTTTGTGGGCTATTTAGGTATGAGTTTATGTTTTATTTTATTAACTACATAATCTATTTTTGTCCTTTGTTTCAGATCCATATGAATTACTCTATCTTGATCCACATGTTACTCAGTCCTATGTTGATACTACTACACAAATGGATGATATGACATATCACTGCGATCGTATTAATCGTATGAAGTTTTCTGGACTTGATCCATCTTTGGCTTTGGTAAAACATTTTCATCTTTTGATCTTTTTTCAAATTTTAGTCAATTTGTTCCAATTTTTTTAGGGTTTTGCATGTAAAACAGAAGCTGATTTTGACGATCTTATTGGAAAACTAAGAAAAGTAAGTACACTTTGAATCCAGTCTCGTGACTGCGTGTGAAGATGTCGAGTAAAAATGAAACGAATGATGGTAGAAGCATACGTTATAAAAGATTTTCCTGATTTTTCTATTGATCATTTTTTGATTTCGTTTAGAATTTAATCGAGACAACTAAACGTCCAATGTTTGAAATATGTGATTCAAATCCATTTGACGCACACGCTCAAAATATTGCACATAGCGAAGGTATGTAGCGAGCGAGTCATATTCTTGATGACGTCATTGTTTTATGGATAGTAGAAAAGCGAGCTTCCATTATCTGATGTTTTTGATTTTTCTTTAGTTGTTACATTGGACTCTGATGATGATTTTGAAGTTGTTTGAATGAAATCCTCTCTTTCTAGTAAAAACATATGTTTGTTTATTACTTTTTTGTAATCAAGTATTCGTATCGCCAAAGTTGCCTTAAAATTTCTTTTTTCTGTGTACAAAGCGTTAAGGAATACAGTGATTGTTTTTTTTTGTTGGTTTGAATGTTTTTCAAAATATACGAGCACTCTCAGTTAATTTCTGATACTTTGTTATAATAAACTATCTTCGATTGTATTCATGATTGCGCGGTTACGCTTAAAGTTTGTTCACTCGTTTCTATTTAAGAAAGTAAGTGTAACGACAGCAAATTTATATCTGCTGTGCTTACACTTATTTTCGTACTTCGATTTTTGCCCTTAAATCAATTCAATGTTTTTTCTATTTATCCATATTGAAAGCCTAAAAACAAACATACTGTTCTATTTAGAATTTGTGGAACTTCATCCTTTTATCACCGTTAACTTTTTTTATGTACCTATATGTAATAATTGTTTTTTTATACAATGTGAAAACTTTCTATTCAGCTCATGAGGGAACATATCCAAGTGGGAGTCACACTTGGATATGTTGTCTCGTTAGTGATTTATTGTTATATTTCTTTCTTGAAAAAGAAGGTTGGAATTAAATATGCTACCATTTTTTATCTGACTTTATTAGAGTGAAATGTTGACATTTGCAATGCAGACATTTAGCAGTGGGCGAGTAAAATGATATTATTTCTTATATTGAGCGGGGTCTGAGTGAAAACAAGATTGAATAAACAGAAAAAAAGCAAAAAAACTAATGTTATTTTTATTAAAGAATGAATGTACACGATAGTTATCTCGTTAATATATGCTGGTAGTGAAGAAAAGTCTCTACTAACACCCACTTCTCGTAATTTAGTACAGTATAAAATCTACCTGTATATGGATGGTTGTGAATAGTTATCCTTGATTTTACACAGCATTTAATGCGAATTCGGTATAGATAGAATCTTAACCTTGTGTAAATTTGATCTCATAAAGGCGTGCCTGTCCTATACGGCAATTGAACAAAGACAGGTGAAAGAAAAGTTTATGTTTTTATTCTAAATATTCTATTATAGTCTTTTCGCTGTGTGTATTGAGGTATTGATGATTAGGTGTGTTATTATGTAATTTTCTAGATTTACGTAGTTCTTCTCGACTGTAGATCTAAGTTACGAGTAACAGAGATAGATACGTATGCTAATATGTAGAAACATTACCGTTTAGACACTATATTGGATATCATTTTTACTTACGTTATTCCGCTAGACAAACTAGTACCTTACTGAGACTAGTTACGTCTTTCTAGGCAAGAGGCGGCAGCTAGATCATATATTTGTTATCATTCATCTTCAGCAATCAAAATCAAATTGTTTCTTTCAATTCACTGGAAACTGGGGATCCTTTCTATAAGAAGGTAATAGCCGTCATACGCTTTACCACTCTCACTGTCCACTTTTTTATAATTTCGACTCAATCTTTTAACAAAATACTGCTCTACATTTAAGACGTTTAAAATGTATATAAAGAGACTGTTTAGTTATTGTATTTATAGATATTTGTGCGTGCTAGAAGTTATAAGACTCGAAGCTTCAAAATATATTCTCATTAGAGATACAAATCCATATTTTTCAATATAGAGTACGCTGGGACAATTATGACCAGGCACAAACTTTTTCACAGTATTTTACGAATGGTTAAGCCATTTTTAGTTGGAGAAAAATGGTGACCACACAGGTAGATACATATGACTTTCAGCTATATAGTGATGTAAAAATTGTCTGAAAATTCCTTACCGTTCAACTTCCAGTATCTTGCTCTTAATTGGTTATAATTCCTCGATTTGGGAGTCAACGTACACCGCTGGAGTAATTATAACCATCACAGCAAAAACGGCTGGGACGATGTAAATCAACGTTGATATAACGGTGAACTTTTACCTTTTCAATTAACCCTTTTGTGCCGGGATTATTTTTTTGACAAAAATAGTCCTGCAAAAGTCGCGATGCCCCTGCAATTCAAGAATCACGATAGCTAGGGGCTTCTATTCTTATGTGATTATAGCTCTTACCGAAGGCTGATCACCCACCAACTTTGGGACTCTTTTACTGGATGGTTCATGAGATATAAGCGATTTATTCCTTTTCAGTAAAATATCAATAGCTCCTGACCTGAGAGAGATGAAAACTTTTTCTTTTTACAAAAAAAATGCAATCACGACTCTACACTATCGAGAATATGAATTTCGTGAGTTGGCTGTTAGTAATTAGTGGCATGCAGGTATTTTACGGGCGAGGGCACATCATTTTGACTTCAAATTCGCACCAAAGACTCTACAGTGTCTGTAGATTATCCAGCCAAAGTTTGAAGGTTAACTATTGTGTGTTTCTAGAAATTCATTTTGGACGAGCACCCACAATTGAAACATACATAGAAGTGATGAACTAAGGATCGCTCTTTCTACTATAGTATTTGCATTGAATGTACATCATAATCATGAAAAAATAATCATGGAAACCTATGATTCCGAAAACGTAGGTGAAAGTTTCGTCAAAAAGATTACACACTTACGTCTAACCTTCGCTATTTCACTTATTTTGCGTCCTTTTCACTCCTCATACATATAGCGCTGCACGACGATGACACCATAATTGTGGACGAGATAAAAGAAAGAGAGAGGAGTCTTTTAGATCGAGTCTAAATGACATTATAACAATGGTAATATGTGCAAAAGTTCAGCCCGTATATTTACGGGTCCCGGCACGAAAGGGTTAAAGATTAGTCCATCTTGTAAAGAATTCCTAGCTTTATGCACCTCATGAATTGCCAGTCAATCAGCTTTACTGTTAATTACTTAATGAGAAATTAGTGGAATCAAAAGAAACAGTCATTGTTTTCGATATACACGAACTGGGATAATTATAACCACACTGCTATTTTTCATGGGTTAATTATAACCAATTAAAAGCAACATACTGGAAGTTGAACGGTAATGAATTTTCAGACAATTTTTACATAAGCATATAGCTGAAAGTCATCTGTATCTACCTGTGTGGTCACCATTTTTCTCCAACTAAAAATAGCTTAACCATTCGTAAAATACTGTGAAAAAGTTTGTGCCTGGTCATAATTGTCCCAGCGTACTCTATATTGAAAAATATGGATTTGTATCTCTAATGAGAATATATTTTGACAAGAAATTGTATTTCCCAACAGAGATACATTATCTCTCATTTCTATATCCTAATCAAAAATTAAATTAAGTATAAGGTAGCCAAGCGAATTCCCGATACAAAACCTAATATCTTATTATCATCGGGAGTGTCACCAAACAAGAAGATTGATTTGGTATTGTACCTGTTGATGACTGTGGCACAACCATTGCTGATAATTCTTTTGATAATGCTGGTAAAACTGATTGTATAGTACGATATACCAGTAAATGAATGTAATCAAAAATTGATACTGAAGCAGAAGATCCATGCTTTTGTCTCCAGCAATCAGTAACGCCTATGTATGAGCCAAGATGACAACTCACTAAACAGTGTAATAAAAAAAGATTCCTTATGATTTGTATGGGTTCATTATTAAACAAATTTGTTGAACTGGTGTTTTTGGATCTTCGATAACTTTACCTTTGACACCACAAACAACTTCATTGACAAAAGAAACTTGACTTGTACAGCATTGCGCCTTCTACGAAACACTTTTATCTCCAAGATGAAGCACAACTCTCAATATCATTCATCAAAGTACTAATTACCGCTGAACAAGATCTTAATTGCTTGTACCTTATACTTAATTTAATTTTTGCTTAGGATATAGAAATGAGAGATAATTGAGAAACACGGTTTCTTGCCAAAATATTCGTTTTTTAAAAGAAATATTTCCTAATTGTTTAAGCCCGCCCTCCTCGGTCAGAAACGACGATTTTTGTCAAAAATATCGATTTTGAGAGACATACACGATTAGATAGCCCAAAGTCCCCTCTTTCGAATGCAATAAGTTTTATGCCCTGCTATGTGATAAAATAGTAGACAATTTTAGGAAAAAACGCCTGCATAGACACACGAACTCTCCATCACCTAATATGACGGAGAAATCGTGTAGACGGTAAATGCTCTATTTCGGGAAGTATTTTACATGCCATATGCCGGACACTAGTAGATGGAGCCTCTAAACCTTTACTATGACTATTGCTGGGTATGATCAACGTCCTCTGAAATTTTATTCAAGATTGGACTAAAGCTGACCGAAATAGCTTTCTGACAAAGGAAGCCTTAGACGAGATATGAATACTGAAAAATATGGATTTGTATTTCTTATAAGATGTAGCAATATAACTGTCTGTTAAAAACTCTATACATCATAGTAGTCGACAAGAAAAGCACAGAAGCTAAAAAAAGTTGTCTGAATATTGAATATGATTTCATTGTATTAGTATCGTCCGTAAGAATTGTCATATCGTTCTAAATTTTTGTCGTTAATTGATCGTGATTGCTGTTATAATTAGTTGTATCACACTGAGTATACCTTATATTCTTGAGATCAGTTAAAAAGGCGATGTTTTAATAGGCAGTAAAGGTACTGAGGTCATAATTTTCTACAGTTTGATTGATTGGGCGATCAGAATACGTAGTAAGTAATAGGTGATGTCGAATATTGGCTTGAATATTTGTATTTTAGACATATGTAAACGGGCAATAGATTGAACAAGACAGTATATTGTCATCATACGCCAAATAAGTTAGTTAAATGATGGTTAGACCAAAAAAATGAAGTTTTGGTTAATTGCAAAATGGCTACAATTTAGTCGTTGTTCTTGTTGTTTGGGAGGGCGAAAGTCATGGGTGGGACGTAAACGCCGTAAAAAGTATTCAATTAGTTTTATTTTACTTTTATTATTCTTGTTTATTGTGTTATTGTTGATTGGTGTACTATTTTTCTATTCTGTTATTATTTTACATTTTAATAATTCTCTAAATTTGATGTCAGATATAATTGTATCATTTACAAGTTGTTCTGGTCGTTTTCGACATGAACTACCACTAACAATTCATTCGCTGTTATCACAGACAATATTACCAAAAGAAATTCGATTATATTTATCCACTAGTGATCGTAATTTAACAAATAAATCAATTATAAAACAGGATCTTATAAATATCGACCATTCGATGGTCATTTCAGAACTTTATAATAAACTTGTTCATATTTATTTTGTACCCGATCGTGGTCCAGCAACTAAATTTATGTCGATTTTAGAAGAATATGACAAAAGCAACAGATCTTCTTCCACCCAACTCATATTCGTATGTGATGACGATCATTATTATCAACCACATATGTTAGCAACATTGTTATTCTACAATCGATTATTTAAAAATGATACTATCGGATTTCGTGGATGGAGAATTCGTGACGATTTGATATGGGGTGTTATCGGGAAACCGGAAGGGTATTATCACATTATTGATTCTAGTAACATTTTGCAACCATATCGAGTCGGTATTGTAACAGCAAATTGGGGCTATTTAATTCAGCCAAAATTTTTTGATAAGCACATCTACTCGGATTATAATAACTTGACAGAACGTATTTCATTAGTTGATGATATATGGATAAATGCTCATTTGGCTAGACGACATATTGCACGTTATGTTGTTCCATCATGTTGTTATCATTTAAGCATAACAAAACTACGTGTACTCGACACAAAACTATCTAATAAACAATTATCTCGTGCACAGGCGAATAATAATGCATTAAAATATTTTAGGCAGTATTGGGAAAAAAATTTGTATTATAAATTTGACGGCATTAATCATCCAGTTTATGCTCAATGGTACAAACAAGTATATAAAACTATAGTGAATCTCATTTTACAGATGAAATTTATTATACAATTTGGTTTCCAATATCTGTGAAATATTTTTGGTTTTTTCGGATAAAACTAAGTTATTGATTTACCTATATATTCGACTTTGCGGAGGAGAATAATATTGAAACTAACGTTCAGCATTAAATGCTGAAGTTACCTTCTATAGGTAACTGTTATTGTCAGGTAACTTCTAACTACATAATGTAAAACTATTTTGAAACAACTTTTCACCCTCAAAACTACTTTCCAAAGACTCCTCGGAGCTACAGTAACATAGCACAGAAAAAACATTCGTCTCATAAAAAGTGACATCTAGCATCTTATGCTGATACGCTATTTTTTTGATGAATGAAAGTACAACATATTGACGATTGAGAGAATTAAAAAATAGGCAATCGAAGACCATTTTTTGGTATCATACCGCTTATTACCAGATTTTTCCTATGAATCTGGCATTTTTTCTGTTGCTTTTTGCAGTATAGATGCAGACCTAAATCGTTCACTTCAAGCAAAAAGAAATAATACATAGCCATTTCCGATGTATAGTCAGCATAACTTTTTCCCATTCTATTTGTTTTCAACGCGTAATTTCAGATTTTTAAAGAAAATTCGGTAAAAAAAATACCCGAATTAACGGAAGATTGGCCAGGACATGCAGGTTTCACAGTCAATGCAATGAAAGTAAAACTGCAGCTTAGTCTGTCTTCGTCTTCGTTAAGTCAAAGTTCAGATTTTAAAATGTTTAGACTTTTCCTAGAATTGAAGATATCTCAGAAACGTTTAGTTTCTGCCGCAAAAAATACCAGATTTGGGTAAAGCGTAGAATTTACCGTATTTAAGAATTTTCTTTTTTCGTATTTTATTTTCTGAACTGAATGACCAACAAAAAGTACTAGGATTATACAGAAAGTTCTCGAAAAACGTACGATGAAAATAACGTTTTTTTTCTGTTTTAAATCGCCAAATTCTATAAATTTTGTTCTGTTTAAACATAAAGAACGAGAACAAACGTCAGTTTCATGATACGCCTATCAAGAATACTCTCCATTCTCACGACTAGGTTTTACGTCCAGCGCATGCGTATCCTCTTCAATAGAGTAATCTACTAGAAAACTTTGACTCGTCAAATACAAAATGTTGAATTATTCGTTTGATCTTCTTCGTCTTTTACAGCTACTGCTAGGGCGGTCCTGCCTATCTGTATGTTATATTTCTATAAATTGTAAACAGCATGATTCAATAATGGCCATATGACATCTAGATTTTGACGTATTTCTTCTACTTTCGTACATAAACATTATCTTGTCTTTTGTATCCAGACACTTATGTGCCTTTGTTGTTTCGTTAAGATAGTATTATTCTCGCGCAAAAAATAATTTATTTATGCAGTCAAGTGAAGAGTTTGTGGCTAAACTAGGTAAGTAGATTGATGAAAGGAAAAGAGTAACTTTAAAAACTGTTTTTTATTTTTACTTAGAAGCGAAATTAGAACGTATACGTGGAACGAAGACAAATAATAAAAATCTATCTGGTAAACAATTTGTTGAAGAATTAAAAGCAAAAAGAGAAGATATAAATCGACATTTTTTAACATCCGATCGTGAAGAAGATCATCAATTAGATCCGATTGTGGACGAACCGGCGGTGTGGGTGAGTACAGACTCCATAGTTTATTGACATCATTTTTCAATCGATTTTCTTTTAGAATAAAATTGAACCCGAACAACCGTGTACAACCGAAGAACTGTTAAATCTCGTTGAAAACGATTATCTTGATAGTAAAGCAAAGAACGATATTGAAGAAGAAAATAAAACAATAGCAATAGAGAAACAACATCCTGAAGTAAAAGACGATGAATAATTCCGATGATATTCTCTGTCGAATATGTCTAGAAAAAACAATCAGTTATAAGTGTCTAAAATGTAACGTGGGATTAGAATATTTTCGAAACTTATCGCATTCAAAATGTACAGAAGAATTTCGCAAAACTTTGTAATCGATATTAGATAACGCTCATCCACGATACGCTCAGCTCCTTGACTTAAGCTGTGAAACGTAACACTCACGAATATATCAATCTATTATCTGACATTTTTGTTTTAAAAGTATATAGGACGCTCGCGCCTCCTTTCACACAGTGGGCATTTTTCTAATAGTAAGCGAACATCAGAGTTTTTTTTGTTCATAAATTGTTTTTTCATCAATAATTATCATTGCTTAGTCGTCTCTGATGCTTTTAAAGAAAATAGTAAACATTTTCAGAAAAAATCACTTTTTTCCCGCCTGCATGCCCACTGTGCCATCGGATGGTACTTGCAAAACAAAATTGGTCACCTGAGCACACTACACTTCAGACATTAGACACGCATCTGCATTTTACTGTCAACAGAATTCGAATATCCTGAAGCTTTACTGGATTCGGGAGTGCGACAGTTTTCTGAAGACCTTCGGAAGATTTTCAGGTGCTCTGCTGGTCCTTGTCTGAAGACACATCACAAATTTTACTCCTCATTTTACATACGGAATAACTCAGAAATCGGTAGAACTCCGGAAGCTTTCTGTAAACAAACCCTCAGCCTCTTAGGCTTACTGCTCATAGACACTTAAACGTTAATTATCTGTTCAGGCGTAGTTCTTTCATGATTATTTGAATCGAGCAGTTTTCACTTGTTTGAGAGAATTGTTTTATTGTTAGCACACATATCTTAGCGCCCTCTATTACATTTTATTTTGTGAAGTTACGAGTGTTTAGCGCGATGTCTGCCTTCGGCTTAGTTGTCTTCTACACGCATCTTCGAAATATATAAAATAAAATTATCGTCACTTATTCTCTCTGATGATTGGCTCATCCAGACAGTATCTGACAGCCATTTTTTTATATTTTTTGCAGACAAACTAATACACAACTCTGTTGTAAGACCCTTGACTAAAGTCAATTAAACAAACGAAGACAAGAGCATGGATGAGCATCAAAGTGGAAATGATACAAATTTTATCAAAGAACGTATTAGAGATATATTAAAACGGCAACGAGAAGAATATGATGATGATGATGATAATGAAAACAAAGAAGGAAATGATAGTGATGACCCAGAATTAGATGAATTATTTAGTCACGTTTTTCCATCTGCAACATCCGATGAATATCGTGAGGTTGGTTATACTTTATTAACGAAAGTGATGCGATAGGTGTTATTTTGCTATGAGAGTTACTCTTTGGTCCTATTTTATATGTGATGTTTTTTTTACGTTTTATTTTAGAGTTTAGCTAATGAAGAGGAAGATGATCACATATCTGATGAAGAAAGCGACGATAGAGAAAATAATTACGATAATGACGAGTCAGAACAAAATGAGTCGTTGTATGATGAGGTATAAGCACGTATGTTAACTTAATTTGACCAAATTTGCTGCTTTTTCAAGAGAGTCTCTTTCTATATAAAATCTTCAATAGACAACAGATATATAAAAGTTGTTGTTTCTACTGAAGCCAAGTGTTCTGAATGAAGTAAACTTGTTTTCTTTTTTTCGTGTCAATTGTCTTTTGCTAACTTTTTTAGCTTTTACACAATAATAATGAAAATATTGACCATTTGTGGAACTGTTTAACGAATGATGAAAAGGCAGAGTTTGATAAAATGATTAATGATGGTCGAATATCATGTTTGTTAAATGATTATAAACCATGGAAACCATGGTGGTTATACCGTTGTCCTTTACTCACAGATATATCATCTACTATAAACAATGCATCTGATTCTGTATCTGATGAAATTCCAAATCGTACTCCGCTCATTATTGAATCAATAATTCCACTACCGTCGCTCACTTCTATATTACCGCACGTGCACGTTCGATTTGATCTATTTGAAATTCTATTTTCTTATGTATTTATATGCGTCAGATATCGTGGTGATCACCAGTCATATTCAAACGATGCTGGAAGTGAATTTTTCTATTTGGCTTCAAGACACCTTAATACATCACATCAGCAACAAAGTGCTATCAGTGGTGAGACAACGTCAGTATTAAATGAACGTATTACACTATTACGTCAACATTTGAATCACATGCCGCCAATGTGTCGAATATCACAAAAGTTTTTCATTGATTTATTAAAGGATATAATAGCTATTCTACATGGGCCGTATAAAAAGCAATCATCAGCTTATGTTACAAGTGCACTATCAGATATTAAACGGTTTTTAACCAAACTAATTGAAGATCAACGAAAACCGACTCCAGCAGCAACAACAATAGATGAGGTCGAACAAGATGAATCAGAAAAAAGTAAAAGATTATCAATATCTAATGTGTTTCATATGCATAAAAAGAATGATCAAACAAAACAATCAAATAAAACGGTATGTGTAGTGAATCAAAAGAAAATATAACGGATAAGGTAGAATGAATGGCGGTCTTAGTACAGATCGTACATAGAGGGAGAACGTTGCCCATTGTAAAACTTCTTATATAGCTTACCACTTTTAGATTCTATAGTAAACCAGTGAACAGCAATTTTAATCAACAAAAATCAATTTCAATAGTTTAAGCCCCCCTCCCCCACAGTGGGTATCCAGACGGACTTTAGGTAACAGAGGTGCAGAATCTACCCGTGTGCGCGTACGGGCATACGTGGAAAAGTTTTGGTCGCTGGGGAAATTTTTGAAATTTTTTCCAAAAAAGAGAAATGTGGGAAAAATGTGGTATTTTTCCAGATAAGAAGATCTGACAAATCTATAAAAGTCTTTTCTAACTTTTCTAACTACTAACCTTTTCGTTCTTTAGCGCACGGCAGGTTTCCCAAAAGTACGTGATTTTTCAGGAAAAATCCATCTTTTTCAGTCGGAACAGTTTCAGAAAACAATAAAGTCATATTCGAAATCAGCATCAAAAACTGCATCAAAGGATGTATAACACAAAATTCTTCTAAACAAAAAAACATTTTTCGAAAAAATTCGGGCAAATAAACCCCTCAGCCGACAAGAAATTTCGATTTTGACAAACATCCACAGTTTGATAGCTCAAAGTGTTCTCTTTCGAATGCATTAAATTTTAATTCCCCAATGACCCGATTTAAAGACTTTTCAGCGAGATTTCCGGAAACCCTATGAGTAAAAGCAAAGGTTTTCATTTTTTTAGTTTGTGCTAATTCCGTATCTCTATTGATTTTCGATCATAAGAAAACTGATGGAGATGTGCGCGCATATGTATGTCAGATTCCTCATGATCGAAAACCTCTAACAATATATGAACAATTGTTTTTTTGTCTTAGAACGCACAAGAATTATTCGCTTTTTGAAAGAAAAAGATATTTTACGTTTTTCTTAATATTATTGTTTCCTCTAGGATATTTCGTATTTGCAGGGATTCTTTATAACACATGCTAGAGACCTCGAAGACATTTTAAATTGTAGCTAACACATGTGTCTAGAGGCTAACGAAATCTGATTTTTGAGTTTTGGTTTAGCTTTTTATACAGCAAGACAGCTTTGTGACATTAGCACAATTGTTTTGAAATTTTTGACTTTTCCGTCACTAGAACCGTAGAAAACAAAATATTAAAAATCCGAGAGACTCTGTTGGCCTCTAGACACATGTACAGTCTGCAATATAAAACGTCTCCGAGGTCTCTAGCATGTACAGTTATGAAGAATTCCTGCAAATACGAATTTTTTCTATTCTTGTTCCTTTTTTCGATTGTCTCCGACATCTCACGAAAGACAACAGCTGAATCCTCGCCAGTTTTATCGTAAATATAGTTTTATAGGGCTAACATATCCTGAAAGTTTTGCTGAGTTGGATGTAAGACGGTGAAAAACTTTTCTGACATAAACGTATCTTAAGAAATGTGAGACAAGTAGAAAAAATTCTGAGAACTCTATTATGTATCTGTTAGACGGAGCTGAGAGCGCACAGTTTAACTGCTGAATCAATGCTGGTACGAACTCAATCCTCCTTTCCTTTTCATTTACATATGGTACTTGTATGTTTCGGGAAAAATTATCCAGAAGTTTTAGCCTTCTAAATGATTAATGCGTTGAATGTAGTTGTAATTTCTAGAGCATGTTAAATTATTGTATTTTAGTTTCCTTTTCTATCTCAGTTGCTTATGTAATAAATGTATTTCTTTTTAAAAATATATGTTTTTCAATTATTTTAGCGTGATACAAAATTAAATGATAATAATCGAACATCAATAATACGTCCAAAAATTGAAAAAAGAGCAATCCCAACAACAAATGCAATAACAAAAGATAAAAACAAATCATGTATAGTCACTGATCGTAAAACATTAATGTTACTATCAAAGAAAATTGATTATTTACTTAGTTGGTCAGTTACTCATACAGATCGCATTAAACTGTTAGAATTTGAAATGAAGCAAATTGAAGAAGAATTACGTTGCGATTTTGAAGATTATCAATCAGAAAAACGACGTATAGAAAAAAATTTAGAAAATATAAGACTAAAAACAGCAAAACAAGCAAATTTAATCGAAGAACTGTAAAAGATAATAATTTTTCATTTTTATCGATATTCTTGATGTAATCATGTTCTAATTTGTAATAAGAGAAAAGAAATTTGAATTGGACGTCACCTAGTTTTTTTTTCTAATTGATAAGAGACATGGCATGAATAATTAGGAGTTAGAATGCGTTGTATCGTGCTTATATTTACTGTTGGATGCAAATGTTACATTGACTGATTAATCCGGTATTACGTTTAACTTGTAACTTTAGTTTTTTTTTTGACGATTTGCAGCTATTAAACGGTATGGTATAACTCTGTTGAACAACAGTCTCCAATAGAAATCGTTCTAATGTGTAGAAAAAAAAAAAAAAGAATGAATCATAGGAACAAGCTTATGATAAATAGATTATTATTTATAAAAATAAAGTGGTTATAGTTAGAAAGAGAAAGGTGAGCGGCTATGTCGTTTGACATTTTTGTTTTGTTTAGAGATTTTAGTTTTTATGGTTTTGTATTTGATTGGTGAGACATGTATGTTGTGTTTAAAAAAAAATAATGTATCAGACAGATAACAAATTTTCGTTTCTTTTGTCATATTTACATAATTAATTGAGGATAGCTTTTGTCTTTTTTGCATATAAAAGATATCTTCTAAATTTACTTACGTGTTTTTATGTTTGTAAAAAAAAAGGTATTCTGTCCTTGATTTTGTGGTTACTTGTATTTAATATATGAGATAATATATAACAAAAACTAAAATTGAGAATTTATTTGTGTAAAAATGTCCCGAGACATTATTCCTACCGATAGGGAAGATATTTATTTAAAAAAGACTTATGCACCAGGAGCCATACGACAGACAACAGCAAATGCAAGCGATCAACGAACATTAACACCATATATATCACGAGATGGTATATATAAACCATCGAATAGATCATCATGGGTGGCTGTTGGTGATAATCGTCAAAATTTCTACAAAACACCGAATAATCTTGGTTTAGCATCATTACTTGGTGTAGGTGGTATAGGCGTACCAATACGTCCTATTCAATCACAAAATGTAATAGTAAATCGGATTTCTAACGAAAGAAATGAAGATAGACGTCAATTAATTGATACGAATAATATGTTAGCTGAATATGTTCAAAAAGTTCGATTTCTAGAAGCTACTAATCAGGCTTTACAGCGTCAAATACAATTATTTGGAAATCATAGTGGACAAAATTCTGTAACAATTAAACATATGTTTGAAACAGAAACGCAAAGTGGAAATAAAACAATTGATGATATAAAACAAGATAAAAAACGTTTACAATCTAAATTCAAAGATGCTGAACAATCATTAGGAAAATTTCGTGACCGATATATGCAATTGTTAGCTACACGAAATCAGTTAGGAAGAGAAATATTTGATTATCATCGAAAAATTGCTCAAAATGATGCAGAAATTAATTTAATTAAACGTCGAATCGCTGACATGGATGATGAAACGAGATTTTATAGTTTAAAAAATCAACCATATGAATACAAAGAAGATCAATTGAGGCAAGATATTGATAATGATTTATTTAGTCGTCAAGTATTTCAAATGGAAAAAGAAGTGTTGGCTACTGAAAAAGAAAATAATGAAAATGTTCATCAATCACTTATCGATGAAATACGTGCATCAGTCAGTGTCGATTTTACACTGAAACCATCAGAATATTTTCGTGACCAATTATCGTCTGCTATACATCGCTTACGATTAGAATTTGATGAAAAAAATCAAAAAGTGGAACAGACACTCCATCGTAGGTACGAGAAAGAATACAACAATTATCTATTGATGACACAACGTCCAACACCAGCCGTCACTCCACAACATCAAAAAACATTAGAGCAGTTAAACAAACAAAAATTTGACTGTCAACAACAAATTGCGGCGATGAAAGCGAAAACATTTGAAATTCGTAATAGTATAGATAAACTGCAACGAAAACTTGACGACGAAAGATTTAATTTACAAAAGAAAGATCACAATATAATTGCACATCGTGAAGATTTAGATCAGCAATTATTAAATAAAGAAAGACTGTTGAATGAATTATCAAGAACTGGTGTTTCATTAACAGAACAAATCAATTATTACAAGGATCTGATGGCAAGGAGCGGTTTGGGAACAATTGTAAACACTTTCTATGAGACTGCCCAATTTAAAGAGATTGAAGCAAATAAAAAAATACTAGTAACTGATCCAACAACTGATAAACAAACAACTTACAAATATTCCCACAGACTACGAACGGATAGAAATGATAGCATGACCGGTCATTATATTTCACCATCAAATCTATATCAACGTCCACCAGCGATTTCTGATTCAACATATCTAAGATTAGGTGATCAATCACGTATAATAAATGATGATAATCCACGGGTTAGATTTGCAGACAGAAATAGTCGCACAATAACAATGAAACAAAATGAATTATACCGTAGTCATTCGGGTATAGTAGATGTAGGCAGGACTAAACCGTGGATGGATGATCATATGACGACTTTGGGATCAGATTATCACAGGATGGAATTACAACAAAGTATGAGCCCACCGAAACCAGCAAGAAGTAGGCAAGGAGATTTCTACGATCCGGACAGAACGCAACAGTCAAGACATTTTATAGAAAATAGTGGCGTGCCAAGACATTTTATAGAAAATAGTGGCGTATCAAGATCAAGAAGTACTGATCAATTAGTGTCATCAAATTCAGGACGCTTTTCAACAAATGAGAGTATCTACAATACTCTAACTCATGGTGGTTATTAAAAACATTCAATTTTATTTTTATATTGTGTGCAATTTGATTTTCCAAATACTTTTAATCAGGACATAGTTTTCATCTCTCCTGTAACAGACCAGTTAATTACTCTTACGTAGAAATCTTAATATAAAAGCGAAACTAACGATTTAAATTTGTATCAAAGTGTTGTAGAAGCTATTTTTTTCCGTAATTAAATTTTTTCAACTCAATACACGCATAGTGCTTACTTTAAATCTCGTTATTTGCAAGATATCGTTCACAGAATTTTCATTGAAAAAAAGTGTATTCTTAGAGAAATATTTTTTTATAGTAAAATAGAGTAGAACGCGTCGTTTATAAGAATACAAATTAGATAACAAAAATAGCTAGAGACATAAAAGGTGGGCGAGGTATATTCATTTAAAAATTGAAAAAACTTTTTTTCAAGATTAAAAAGCTTTCAAGGTTTTCCATTACTAAAAGTTATTGGAAAATGAATTTTGTACTACCTCTGAGAAAAAATTAGTTTATCTCTATTCAAAACATTAGATCTTTTGTATGTTTCCAGTCTACCGCATATTTCTGAAATTGCTGTTATCTAGTGGGTGAGAGTTTGCTACTTACCATTTATGATACTTTATATCAGTAATAAAGTTCTATTGTAAGTAGTCATTCTGTTTTCCTTGATATTTCTACAAATTATATTAATCTGGTTTATATCTTCATTTACTGTTGTTGTCTTTCGTTTTTGATCACTACTGGTGTTCACACTGACTATTGTATTGATCTATGACGCAGAGAAAGTTTATGATGTTTGTTGACGTGCAAATTAGAACTCAATGTACTCTAATAACTAAATGTGTTGATTTTAGTGGCCATTGGACTCGAGAGATAAGAATTAAAGTTAAAAAAAATATACTCTATATCATTGAGTTTATAAAAGTGTCTCAGGGACAGTGCCGATTAGTGCTTTAATGACTGGTGGAACAAGCGAGAGCAAAGTAGGTTCCCACTTTGAAAAATGAATTTTCCACTTATTTTCCCACTGGTAGAAAAATATCCCACTTTGTTTTCTCTTCTTTGAGAGAAGAGAATAACAAAAAATAACACACGAAATTAGGCTAGATACGTTTTTCAGTCATTCATTGGCCTCCTTCTCTCCACACGCTTAGCTACAAGAAAATGGACCCGTGAATGATAATAGCAGTGGTCTGATTCTTTCGGAAACGTACCACGCTTACATCGACTTCATTCGAATCATTAAATATTAACAGAACTAGCACAACTCGAGCTCCTGATTTCGAAAAATCACGTTCAAGAAATTTTGAAACAACAGTAGGGTACTCTTTCGTACCTAGAAGGATCTCATTTCCAGAAAAATGGACATTTTCATCATTTTTTAATGAAACATATTTTTGAGCTGAATCTGCCAGATTATAATCGATATGTGTCTTCGTGTCTTCGAGCTGTTTACGACATTTTTTCATGAATTAGCATTCTACTTGCCAGTAGCATTGAAGGCCCTTAGCACTTATCTTCCGGCTGGTTTGCTAGTATGCGACCTTCCATAAATTGAATGCTGCTTCATGAGAAAGTGTCGTAAAGAAGTCATTTTCTTCGAAAATGTTTGCTCTACACGTTGAATGTATTTACAAATACATTTACAAATGCATATTAAATATTGCATATGGGATCTGGCAGGATATAATACTGCGCTGTCATACAGAGCTCTGTGTAACTGCATGCTCCAATATGACAAATGCGGAAAACTTTTTCAATGATGATGAGTCCAATATTGTACACTGTTGTGAGAGAAGTTTTAGAAGAAAGTAGTAGCGGATCTGGAACTGATGTAATTGACGTTGTTGAGAAAATTAGCAAGATCAGTCGTCACCAGGTTTTCTCACCCATAAAACTTCACAAAATTTTTCGAATTTTGACAGTGATTGTTGGTTGACAGGTGTGGAAGAAAGGTCTTTTCATCAAATATTCTAGACAGGAAATTTGAAAGGATGATAGTATATACTCCAAATCTGATCCATCTTTTGTAGAAAATTGGTACTTTTACTGGCGTCTATGGAAAGCCGCGCTAAAATACCTGCTTGAAAAAGTGTGAGTCAGTGCGAGTACATATTACTTTACATTCTCACAAATATTCTTCAAAACGCTTTTCTAAATAGAGCATTTCGTTTAGATAATTTAAATGTGTTATTTAAATATAGATTTATTATTTATGATCTATTCAAACAACTAAATTCATCAGCACCAGCTATAGTTTATCGAGGTCAAGCTATGTTGGTGAAAAATTCAATATATTTTAAAGAAGGTTCTAGGTTTACGACTAATACATTTTTACTAGCAACTGTTAATAAACAAACTGCGCTAACTAATGCTAAACAAACAGAAGAAAGACATCATCATAATTTACAACAAATTGTATTTATAATTCATTTAGATAATCAACGAGACAATAATCTATATACATATATAACGAATACTGAGTACGTTCTTATCTCAACAGGTATTCATTTCATAGTAAATTCAGTCGAAAGACAAAAACAAGAGAATAATTGGGTAATAAATATCACATCGTATGAGATTGATGAGGAGAATAATGATAATGATCCAATATTAAATGATACTATATATAAAGGTTCAAAATTTAATCAAATGGCTGCTACTTATTTGCATTCTCAAGGAATGTTTGAGCGTCTAATACAGTTTTATCAACTAATATTAATAGAAAAACCGATAAATGAAAAATATATACATTATGATCTGGCTGATGTATATTATAAAGTAGGAAAATATTTAAATGCTCTTGAACAATATCAATTAGCTTTACGATTTTGTATAACAACAAATGATTATGTCCTAACCTATACATATTTAGGACGTGTCTATACTCGTCTAGAAGATTTTGATCAAGCAAATTATTATTTAAAAAAGGCGTTGAATCTTTTCAAACAGAGGGATGCTGTTGCTGATGGACTTTCAGCTTTAACTATGGGTAAAATGTTTGACTTTTTAGGCGTTTTAAATTTTAAACAAAATCCAACTGATTTTCTTACAACGTTCGTATATTTTAGTATGGCTGAATTGATTTGGTTCGACCTTTTAATATGCATTTGTAAATGTATTTGTAAATACATTCATCATGTACAGCAAACATTTTCGAAGAAAATGAGACGTCTTCAAGCGCTTTACGACACTTGAATGTATTGATTTCTTGATCTTTACGACACGATGAATGTATTTACAAATATTTTCTGAATTGAACTAGGGCTGTGACAGTTACCATTAGCGTTACAATAACTGCTGAACAGTTGACGTTCTTGGTATCGATAACGGATAAGCGGTTAGCGTGTTCAGCAGTTACAGTTACCGAGCAACGGTCGTAACAGTAACTGGTAACTGTCATAGTCGTATACAGGAGTTCGAATCTAGTTCTCAGGTTTCTTTTTTTTGTAGTGTGCATGCAGCGCAATGAGGTTTCCGAACGGGAAAAACTTGACTCAAGTCAAAGTGCAAACTTCGACGAGTCTCTATAATCTGAAAGAGAAAGTTTAATCTGGAAAAAAATCAAAGTTTTTTGACTTTTCTGCATTTCTTATATAGACTGACAACCAGAGGTGCAGAATCTGCCGCTAAAATGAAAAATTTCCCCGACCGGTGGAGCTTTTTTGAAAAATTTCCCCGGCTAGAAAAATCAAAAGACCGTTTCTCTGTTTAGCGCGTATATTCGAAAAACAAGAAACAGAGAATACAAACAACAAGAAACAGAGAAGCCGTCTTAAGTTTGTGATTTTCCTCCGCATGGGAAAAAAATAATTTTCCCCAAAAAATTTTCTATACTCTGTAATTTTCCAAAAATTTCCCCAACCGGCCGATACCGCACGCGGGTAGATTCTGCACCACTGCTGACAACCGCAAAACAAAAAGGTGATTGTGTCAAAACGGTTTACCGACGGTTTTTTTTTTGTGCCACGGTCTGAAAACTACCATGCGCCCAGGCAAACGTTTTCTGGCAAAAAAACGCATTGATGTGCGTTTGATTTGAACGTGGGTGCCTAGAATTAAGAAGCAAACACATAACCATCTGAGCTATCAAAGGATCGAAACATATGCAGTAACAATGCTATGTGTTTTGATCATCTCAGTCAGACAAGACAGGGCTTCTTTATTCTATGACTTCTATGTTTCATTTACAAAGTAAACAAATCTTTTCGCTCAGAATAAAGTAATTCCGCAGACAATCATCTCTTTTCGCATACCTAACTGTGTGCGAGAAATGAAATAGTCTGTCTGTTAGGTCGATAACTCCGTGCCTCATCCTTCTGTTTAAAGTTGAACTCTGATACCGAGTTGCACTTTATTGAGAAACTCACTAGATGTCAGTGACGTTTTTGAGACAGGATGTTTCTACTCTGTCATTCGTGTAGCTGTTGAACATGAATAAATCTGCTAATACAGGTAGCATTGTCATTTTCTTTTTTTTGTATTCGTACTGTTTCGGTTATTCTATCTCACAAGAAGATTTTAAAGTCAAATGGTCTTCTTGTTTCAACTTTTATGATACACTTTGAAAAAAAATTAAAACGCAGCAGAAAATAACGCATAAAAACGCGTTAGATTACCAAATAATGGTCCTGCTAAACACGTCGGTAATTAATGCACCTTAACGCGTTGGTAATTAACGCATCCGTTTTCTCAAACCCGTCAGAACGCATTAGATTTAAACGCGTTTCGATGCGTTTATAGTACACTAACGCGTCGGAACGCGTTCATTTTCACCAAAAATGCGTCAAAGCGCGTTTCAATGCGCATTGACTCAAAAAAAGGCTTGCATGGGGCCGGGAGAAGAAAAACCGTCGCTAAACCGGTCATTATACCGAACAGTACGATTAACCAGCGGTAATGTATGGACCGGTCGGTAACCGACGGTATTCTCAAAAAATGCGCGACATGGGAAAGTACCCTATCATGAAATTTTATATCAGCTTGCACTGCAGTTCTTTTAGGAATCAAAGAGCTCCGAACAGCTAGTTGGATCAAGTGTTGTTGACTTGATGAACGATGATTTATCTGGTGTACAAATGGTAATGGAGGACGATCTCGTAAATTGTCCACAGAAGGACTAGTCAGACAGCAGTAACCATATATTGTTAATTAATTTCTTCTTATTTCTGTAGCTTTTTTTATAAGTTGTATAACTTTGCAAAGAAAGGTCGTGTAGAGCTGGGAAAATAAAAATGCACATGTGACGAGGGTAACCTAACATGCAAATTTTTCCTCCGAACAGAATACAGCTGCGGACTAATCACATTAAACATAGTTCAACAGTGTGAGGAGAGAAAGTAAGAGAGATATAGATAATTAAGGGAGTAATCGTGGCTCAAAATTACTGTGTATCTAATTCTGAAAGTTCAACTTCTAACACGTTCAAGGTTGACTAACAAACTTGATTGCATCATGTTTCCAAAAAAAAAAGCGGGTAAAATACGGTGAAATCAAGGTTTTTTGAATGGCTTCAGAAAACATTTCTTGGACGCAAGAACATTCGTTAAAGTACTGAAAATGTGAACTAGTAAACTGTGAGGGTGGTTACAAATTTGTCAGGTTTGTAACAGATTCTTCTGACATCTGCAGCAGATCTGTAAAAATCTGGTACAAATCTTGTCTACAATCTGCGTTGCAGAAATATCTCTTTGCTGAGAAGTGTTCTGAATTCCTGTGAATTGGTATAAAAGGTTCGAAATCTAATATGAATCTAAAAAAGTTGCTGAAGACACCAAGAGCTGGAAAAGTAGTTCTAATACATTCTCCATGAAAAATTATATACATTCTATCATTTTCTTTACCCTCAGATCATTTCTTTTGTGTTATCGGAATTTGCTGCTCTGTTCCACTACACATTTCACATCACCTCATCTTTTTCCAATATTATCCCTCTCCTACTTCAATATATATCAAAACAAATCCATAGATATTCCATTTAACACACAGATACGGTAAGTCTTTTATAACCTTAGGTAAAGTCAACATATCATACCAGCGTTGATAACCTGTACCCCAAAAGTTTCTTCGTTTCATATTATGTTGCAGCATTGAAAGCTTTTTAGAACTTCCCTGAAACGAGTCCCAGCCTATCCTCCATGGTCAATTGCCTATCTGGAAACGCTTTTTCTCGGATTTTATTAATTTTTATGACAAAACGTCCTGTTAGGAAAACTTTTTTCGTTGCAGTTTATGTTACATCGTGGCGCCTCTACTAAATCTGCAATTAATTAATCTTCTGATCATAAAATTCTAGTGAACTCTGCATCTTTAATCATCATTTCTGAGTTTGTGTTAGTCGTCTTAATCATAACTGCATTGACGTGTATACTTTACTGGTATTCTCTTTTGATTGGATCTGCCGAAGATTGACTGACGGCCATTTTTCCATGTTTTGCGCATGGACAGACCGACAACTCTACTCTTCCCCTAGACGGAAGTCAAGGGAAAATTGAAAATCTAATCCTAATAACATGAGTTTGAAGAGGTAAACGTATGATGTAACGGCCGAGGGTTGCCGTTGCTACGATCTCAGATGTTTTTTTCGGTAATTTTTCCTTGCCTTAAATACATTGCAAAAGAATTGTAATCAACATTTATCACTTTAAATGCACATATAGTCTTCTTATTTATACCACTAGTGTGGTCTAAGTGTAGTCTAAGCGCATTTAGACGATTACAAGCTGAATTTTATTTTGAACAGATAATTATTGAGTACAATTCTTTTGCAATGTATTTAAGGCAAGGAAAAACTACCGAAAAAAACATTTAAGAATCATGAAAGGATGCACTTTTTTACTCAAATTATAAGTAAGTCTACGGTTTACTCCTTAAAAGTTGGTCGAACAACTTTCACCTTTTTCGACTTTTTTGATTTCTGGACCTATCTAACCCGCTGTAATACAGATCAAGACAATCATTCGAAACATTTTAAGAAAAGTGAGTGTGGTTTGAGTTTAATACGGTATGAAAGTAATTGGGAACAAGTTCACTTTATGGGGAACTTAAGGAATCCAGATTTTGACTATTCCATCGTAAAGAGCATCACTTAAAACCTATAAATTGATAAAAGAAACTTGGCGGCAAACACTCGAAACCCAAAAATGATATAGGACGTCTTTCACTTAATTTGTCCTTTTATTTCAATTGGTACCTGTAAAAGAAGAGCAGATACACACTATGCTTCAATGGCAATATTTTCACTTCACGACGATTTCAATGTAGCTTATCATAAACATTTATTACCCGAAAAACATAATAATAGTTTTTTCGTTTAGGGACATATTCGAGTTGAGACAAAGACAAAACTGCCTGCCTGTTAAGTCACGTTCATATGCCTCGCCGTGAGTGGCAGAGAGACCGTGGGCGGGAGGGGTGGGTACACCAATGGTATATGCTATGATAACGGTTAAAACGTTAATTTACTATTCTATTGGTAGAAATATAGAATGAGAAAATCTAACATTAGATTCACTCTGTAGTTGAATTCGAAATAATGAAAAGTGATGTTACAGGAAATCTGTTTTACAATATATTCAAGTGTAATTCCGACGAAAGAAAAGCGTCGAGAAAACAGATAATATTACAAGAAAACATGTGACAATGTTCATAATCTCACATTTTTCCTGTGACTTTTTGCATTATCTTTCGTTACTCTTTTTACAGCGCAGTCAGATTTGTGAAAAATGAAATTGAGATGTGCAGTATGTGAATGTAGCTTCTAAGTCTAAGTTTATTTGTTTTCTTTTTTGTCTAAATTAAATAACGTAGTCTACCTTTATGGGATCAAGTCGTTGAAAACTAAGCCTCTGGTTCTGGTCTGTTATTAACGTTGTCACACTCATAATTAGTATTGATCTGTGAAAAAAAAAGACCTTTTCATTGGTGTTTACATTGATTATTGGCTTAAGGAAATAAGGTCAAGTGTTTTGTTTAGATTAGAAATGTGATCCGTATCGTTTTTAGACAAAAAAAAACAACATATATATTTTATGTCCAAGTAATAATGTAATGGTAAATATGTAGTTTAGTCCTTTATTTTTAAATGGATAACTTCCATTTGAATTTTCAATTTGAAAGTCCATACTATTAGTTAATTATTCATTTATCTTCTTCAACCTCAGGACATCATTAACTCTTTTATATTATTACATAATTAATCCGGATCATAAGTTTTGTGTTGACCGATTGTGACTTTTATATCAAAGTTAACGCCCATTTTACATTCATCACATAATGAACGTTTTTTTTTTTTCTTTCTCTTATTTTTTTCATAAATTCTTTTTTTCTCATCACTATTACATAATCGTAATAAAATTAATCAATGTCAAACTGGATATTATTTGTTGAAATTGAATTTTAATATGTACCGATCTTTTCTCAATGGATCAATGTACATACCTATACATAAATCATTTATTTATCATTATTTGAGTATCAAAAGAGAGGAAATAGTGGAATAAATTTTTCTATTTGATTCAGTGTCATGTGCATTAGAAAAAATAAATAAATAGTTAAATATTATTGTATATATTATACTCTATTAAACAGAATAATGAACTAAAACAAAAATAAAAAACCTGTTGCATTTTGATTATGTGAAAAAAAAAAAGAAGAAATCTTATGTTTGGATGGTTTCTTTTAGAGAGTTATTGTTCATTGTCTGACTTCTAACGAATAGAAAAGAGAGAGAAAGTATTTATATGCGAGCGTTATATAAATGACTTGAAATAGTCGAGCATTATATTTAATTAATATTCTTGTTTCTTTCTCGAGCGTAAGTAAAAAGCGCCAAGAGTTTTATCTTAGATTTGCTCAGCTGCATTTTTTTTAAGATAAGCAAAATAATAAACAGGAGTCTAAATAGAAGGAGAAGAAGAAGAAGAAGAAAAAAAATTGCATTAAAAGACGATAAAAAAAAAATATATTGTAATGAGAAATATCAAACTTTGTTATTTAAAACAAAATATGAGACAAACTAGATGCAAAAAAAAATTTATTGGTTGAAAATCTTTCTCTGTCATTGTTACACATTTACTTTTTTATTTTTAATTTGTATAAAACAAAGTTCAAGTGGAAAATTCTTTTTGCAGGTAAATTATTGAAGACATTTTTTGATTTTTGTATATAAACGACATCAGATACGTGTACGTGTCGATTTAAAGTTTGTTACACACATATGATAAGATGTTTATATTGTCGAATGTTCAGATGAGATTTTTGTTTTATAAACTTGAAATGTTTATTTAATCTATTCTATCATCTTCATAAGAGTGTGCGTATGTTTACATATTAGAGTCAGTCACTTGTCGATCGCCAGTTAAGCAAAAAAAAAAAAAAAAAATGTCGTCCGTAATCTTTCTCGCTTTTTCTTCATATATTGTTCTTTTTATCTAATTTAACCCAAAAAAAAGTGAATATTGTGTGTATTCACATTTTGTCTTGTTTTAAGTCTTATTATGTATATATATATAGAGAGAGAGAGTGAGAGACACACAACGAAAAAGTATAGAAAAATAGTTTACTCTAGTACTACATATAGAGAAACAGGGAGAGGAGTTTATATAGTAGTAGTAGCAAACTCTTCTTCTCTTTTTTGTTATTAGCATTTGTTCTCTATGTATATACTCGTATGTGTTTGGTGCTTTTTTTTACTTTATATTTTTTATGAAACTCAATATTAAAGATGTGCTCGAATAATAATAATAAAACATAGAATTTCTTTTATAGATAATGACCACAATAGTATAACAGGTATCTGGGTTTTTTTTAGACAGATTTTCTGGTAAGAGAGAAAATGTATGATTGATTACACAAAATTTGTAATCTTATGCATTTTATAAAAATATTATATCCGTTGAGAAAATTGGTATCTGTTGTCATTTTTTATTTTAAAATTCATAAATTATGTTGTTTGAAAGCACATAATAGTTCAATTAGTGAAGGTATCTATTATTCAATTACCCTTATTGTTGAGAGAATTTTATTCTGACATAACAAATTTCAAATATATAATTGCACAACTATTGCATAACAAATTTGATATGTTTCGAAAAAAAAAAAAGATAGAATTTTTGTTTTTTTATTATTATTAAACCGTGAAGGTGTGTAATATTGTTACTATAAAAAAAAACATATTTGATCTAACATTCTACAAAACTGTGGCTAATTGAAAATCGAGTTTTTTTGAAGGAGTAACATTCTAATTTGCTGTTGATTTTACACATATTATCCATTTACTGAGTGTAAGCTTTCGGTGAAAACTAGATTAAGTAGATATATGAAGATATTACACCGTTTATTATTAAATTAGAGCAAAGTTTTAGCTAACATTATCATCAGTATCCATTTGATCTTATTAAAAAGAAAATGTCATAAGTTCGATTAATTTATTTTAAATTGTAAAAATTTTCATTCTTAATCACGAGTATGGTATATTTTTAAATTTTGTAAACACTGGGATGTATTCCTCTCTCAGCAGACAAGTGTGACAAAAAAAAAAAGAAATAATGCACAATGTTCGGTAGCCTATGTATGTAGATATGCGCCTTCTAACATATCTTTCTAAATCATGTCAGAAAGAAAAAGAAAAAAAAAAAGCAGAAAAACGAGTGTAACAACAATACATCTGTTTTGAATTTGTCTTTAATTCATATGCTTTTTTTTCTTCCGATATATCCGTCCGTCAATAGTGTGCAAAGCTGCTCAGAATTTTCCTATCATAGAAATAAATATACTAGAAAAAAAAAAAAAATGGAGAAGAAAAGAAAGAGTCAACGCCACACAAAATGAACGAAATTCATCATATTAAAGACAAAAAAGAAGAAAAGAGATTTAACAACCTTCTTGTGATTGTATACATTGTCTCCTATATATTATAGGCAAATATAGTTTTGTACGTATAAAAAGAGAGAAAAAGAGAGATGAGTATATGACCGAACGTCGAGAGAGAGAGAGAGAGAGAGAGACGGAGAGAAAAAAATAGATTGGACCACTCAATTCTTTTTGCCTTCTTCTCTTTTGTTATTTTTCAAGATCTATAATTTAGTTTTAAAATGTATTGTCGTTATTTATTTAATTCAAATTTCTTAACAGAATAACAAGTAAGATAGAATTTTGAGGATTACATTTTTACACATCTACTTCCGCTTGCGGTGAATAGACATGCAGACTGAATGGGAAAACTAAATTATGTTGATTTTATAAAAAAACCAAATTATTTTTTGCTGTAGTTTTAATTGACATTTTTTCAAAAATTTTTAGTTGATTTAAATTATTTCTATATTTACGATTATTATAATTGACAGGTAATCTGCTTGCACATGACTCATTGTTGTTAGATTAATTTATAGTCATTATTTAATTTATCTTATATTTTTTATTTTAGATCAATTCTCTATCCTTTGTTTTCGCTCGGCTGCTATCATTATAAATGATATTATTCACCACAAGTTCAGTCATCATTAGCATAGTTTATTGATCTTCTCGTGTTTTTCCTATATTTGGTTTTTTCTTTTATTACTGTACTCAGTATCTACATATTAATTAATAAGTTTTATCTTATTGTTACTCTTATTGAATAATCAGACAATTTTTATTTCAAAGTATTGTTTTATCTTAAATTGTGCTTATTATTATACTCAAACAATTTTCGTCTATCTCTGTTTTATTATTACCAATCGTCTTTCAAAAATTATCTATAAACATATATTCATTGAAAATTGTACAAATAATAAGCATCTGCGAACAGTGTTATTCTTCTTGCATTTCTTAATTAACACAAACGAACGTCTGCAAATAACCCTGTGATCTTCTCTCTTTTTAAAACAAAAACAAAATAATATTGTACAGTTTTATTCTGTTTTTCATCTTACACATTTCGTCGTTTCTCTCTCATAAATCTTGTCATATATCCATTAATAATAATACACGCAAAACAATATTCACTAAACAATAAACAACAATAATACAAGTGGTGAAAATTAATTAGAATAAATAACAAGTCCTAATATTCTGTAAAAATCATAACAAAATGGATATGTCTTCAAGTAAGAATTTGTTGTTTACTTTTAGTGTTACGAAAACAGTTTGAACTCTTTGTTCGACAAAGAATATCTGAAAAATCCATAAGTGTGAGAGTTAACATTCTATCGGAAGACTGCGGATATTTAACACGTAGTAAATATACTGTTTTTGTTTCCATTAGTTGGATATAAATCATAGTTTACTTCAACGTTTTAGTTTATGGGTATGACCTTGTGGAAATTATTTTTATTTTTTATCTTTAGCTTTTTGTGATTCAAGTCTCACACAGAATAATCCTTTTCTGGACACTACGTTAACGCCACAATTACCATCACCATCAAGTGAACCTGATGTGGATTGGACAGTTTTTGAAAATGCTGGTAAGAATTTAACGTCTGTTTTTAGTATCGAATACTTTCGTTGAAAATCTGTTTATATTTTTTTTTCTTTCAATTTAAGATCGTTATCTCCTTCGAGATGACAATGCATGGATAGCTCGTCTCGGTAAAGAATTCTGGTGGAATTTAGAATGTATGACAGACATGATCATTACTGAACATACAACAAATACATTACAACAACAAAATACAACTGGTCAATCGGGTCAAGGAATTTATAATCGTGTTAATAATAGCAGCCATAATTCAAAAAATGTTGTTAATTTTAATGCTAGTCATGCACAACCATCATCTGTTCCTTATGCAAATAGACAACCGACAATTTCTTCGCCACAGCTACAAGTAGCGTCGACAGCTCAACATAATATAGGAAATTTAAATTCTCTTAATTATCATCAACCGCCACCGCAACTTCAACCTCCGTCCAGCACACATTATAACAATCAACATCATTTCAATAACCAACAAGCTAATACAACACAATACAATGGTAGTGGAAATAAAACAACACATTTTCAACAACAACAACAACAACAAACTTCAATGAACAACAGTAATTTTATGCCAAGAAAAAGTAAATGACATTTTTTTTTCGTAATTTAAAAGTTTTTATTATTCTAATCTCTACTTATTATTTGGTTTATATTCGAATGTTTTAGTAATTGGTCAACGAAATCAGTCTTCCAATAACAGTAGTATGAATAGTGGTTCAACACCCATTAATAATAATTATCATTCATCTAGTTTATTTAATTCTGACACTAATCATTCAACAAATGGTGCATCCGTCTCACCGGCACCATCACATTCAAGCACCTCATCATCTTCATCTTCAACAATATCGGCTTATTCAGCGATTACACGACCAAATGGTGGTATAGCAGCTGCATTTTCCAATAATTCCATTCCAGATAATAAATTGTTTCATGCCAATACAAACAATAACAATTTATTTCAAGCATTTGCGTCAACATTCAATGATCAACTACCAATGGATAGTTTTAATTTTAATCCATTTAAATCAAATATATCATTTGATAATAATACATGGCAACAACAACCGATAACAAATTGGCAATAAATCAGTTAGTCAGAACTTTATATATATATTTTTTGTTGGTTTTTTTGTTTTGTTTTTTTTTTGCTTTAGCTTCCTCTTTCTCATTCTTAGTCGAATAATAATATACTTACTTCGATTTTTAAAACTCTTGAAAAACAACGACAATGCGTTTCTTATTCTTTTCTCCTGTGACTATTCTAAAATTTCAATAGTAGTTAGAGTGAATGCTGGCTGCAATTTTATTGTATGTAAAACTACTCCAAAAAAATATAGAAAAAAAAAATTAATTTTTCTCATTCCTATATCTATAATTTTTTTAAAATGAACAGCATATAGTTCGTCTCCTTTTGTATATATCTATATATGAAAGTAGATCTCTCTTCTTCGTTTTTTTTTTCTTTTTTTTTGGTATTATAAGCTAACTCATTTCCATTTAAAAGACAGAATGTATTGTGCGTTTTCATATGTTGTATGTACCTGTTTACGTTGAAGTTTACTTATTTCCGTCCTTTTCGGAATGTCCATGTATGTCATGTATCTGTGAACGCTCTATTTGTGCATGCTTGTTTGATTTTTTTTTCTATTCTGTCACGAATGAATTTATAAACACCGAGCTCTGCTTCTTTCGAGTTCCTTCCATTTTGTTTTGTTTTTCATTTTATTTTTTTTTTTCTATTTCACTCTACAATGATGAAATGATAATAATCGTTACATGTATGATGTACGTCTTTCTATATTTGCCAAATCAACCAACCATTCAACCAATCATCTAACAAAAAAGGAGTAAGTTTATTGTTTATTTAAAATTTCTTGCAATATGTATGTTGGTAAGAGAGAAATAATAACATACATACTGTATTCATACACTTTCTTTTTTGCACTTGTCTGATGATACTAAACATCATGCAATAAAAATATTGTAATGCATATTTTCTCGTCTTATGTTTTTTTCGTCGCTTTTTTTTTTCCATCATTAAAACAGTGAAAATATCTCAACAAAAAACAAAACAAAAAAAAAATAACAATAAAAAAATTAGCACCTAGTCGTACTGTATTGTAACTAACTGGAATGTCACTTTCCTTGTTCATGACAGAGAAGATTAAGACATTCTGTAGCTAGTAGTAGTTTTTCATATTTGCTCATATTTTCTTGTTTTTTCATTTACAATTGAAATTATTTCTGATATGAAAAATTGTGAAGTTTACGTGAGTAGAAGAATTTATTGCCAAAGGAAACGATATAGAGCGAAGAAGTTTATTGTCAAATATTCTTTGTATATAGTTTGCTTTCATTTCTTTCCCATTTGCAGTTCATGTTTTTCCTCCGTCATACAGTGATCTGTCTTCTTTCGAACAAAAAGCGCTTTCTTTTTTCGTCTGTGACGGACCCAGGGAAAATCATCGGTTTGTTTTTTCTTCTTCTCGATTAGTCAAATTTTTCTTAAAGTAAAGTAAAAAAGATTTCAATAAAAAAATAAAAAATTATTTGTTTTATTTGCTTTTTTTTCTCTGAGTGCTAGTCCGTCATTTCCGGTGGTTCTCTACTTCCAGTAATTAGGTAAAGTAAGTGTGCTTGCTTCCTCCCCTGAAACAGGTTTAGAAAAACGGTGCTTAGACACATATACCTAATTCTTGCGCATACAACAAAAACTTCAGGGATAAGAAACTTAACTTTTTCTCTCTGCCTTCTTTGTCTCTCTGTTTTTCAGTCAAAACACAGTGAAAGAAATGCAACATTTTTCAACGTGTTTTATATTTGTGTTCTCTCTCTCTTCGTATGTATTCTGAATGCTCGTATACATGTATAAAAAAAAAATTAATCAGATATTTCGACAAATTGTCACATAAAATGCACAGATCGTATTGCTATGTGCAAAGTCTCTTTTTTTGTGTTTCCATATTTTTTTTGTTTTGTTCTCAAAGATAATCAATTAGGTGTATATGTGTCACGAAAGCACATCTCTCAAAGCCGCATAGTCCGGTGTTTAGGTGCTGTTTTAGCATTTCTGCTGTAAATGAAGCAAAGCTATACAAAATAAAAGACTAAAATCAAGGTTGATATATATATATATACACAATTGTACCCTTTTTCTTGTACGTGTTAGTCATTTACTATACAGTTTTTTAAACCACTCTTTTTTTTGTTTATTTTACCTTGTATGTATATCTGCGATTAATATGAGGAACGGTGTTGTTGTTATCCTTCCAGTTCATTTTTTGTTTTGTTATTTTGTTTTCTTTTCTATTGCGCCAGTGAACTAATACGCTTTCTTCGTGTATACTCGTCTTTCCATGAGCCCACGCTTTTATTTACTTTTTTTTCTTCGTGCAACAAGCGACGCTTTTTGCTCTTCTTTTTTCCTTCTAAACTTGACATATAAATATATATTTAGACGTTCCACCCAGAAATTCTTACTATTAGTTTCTACTCTTGATGGACGTTTTCTCATTTCCTAATTGCGTTTGTTTGTTCTTTTTTTGTTCATTTGTTTTCAAAATAATAAATACAAACTTGTGACTTCATATCATTAGCGTGTTATTTCATATTGTTTTGTTCTCAGTTTTGTGTTTGTGTATCTTATCATATCTGAAAAATTTTAATGTTTTTTTTGAAGCAATGATCAAAAAAAGCAATAAACTGGAAAAAAATAATAATTCAACGTGTGTGTTTTTTTTTCTCATATTTCTTTTTTGGTTTGTTGTCGCTTTAAAATTCAATCAATAAAATCATTAAAAAACGTAAATGATTCAACAAGGAAATGGTTCTTAACAAATTAAATAATTGTGTGAGAAGATTAAATGTAATAGAGACTTGATTGCATTCAAATTGACTAGATGTACATATGTATAAAGCGGTTTTTACTGATTTCTCAAAGAACCGAAGAGCTGTAAATTTTTGACAATAGGATTGCACTAAAAATCAAAGTCTGGTTTATTTCCCATATTCCAGCTTATAAATAACAGAAGCACACCTTCTATATCTTATATGTTCATTAAAATCTTTATGGATAAGGGAAATTTTAACAAATTAAACAACATTCGCCTTGTTTTTTACTCTTATTTTGAGGTCTCTCGTCTGAAATTTTTTATTATTCTTTTAAAATTGTCTTATATTCATAACACTGTTTCGTCAAATACGTTCTTGAACAAAAGAAAAACAATACATATTGGAAGAGATTGGCTCTTAGTCTGATGAATTGTTACGCAAAATATTCCTGTGGAGAATTTTCTGTTATTGATTTGATCAGACTCTTTGATAAACTCTTGGACTGAACAGTATTTTTAACAAGCAAATGTAAAACTAGTGTTAAAAAGTGGGCGCTCACAACAATTATGGAGTAAAAAAAGTTATCTTTCCCTTGGTTTATTCTAGTGAATAAATACATGTTAAACGGTTGTTAGTGGCATATTTTGCGTATAGCACATCTATGATGATCTTCCAATAATAGACTACAGTAAAATAGAACAACATGGCTGATAGTCAGCTGTTTAACATATCCAGGCCAACAGTCTATCGAGATGGACGATGTCAACCATTTATATTGATGTCGGTCTCTTCAAACGATAGTGTTTATTAAGATAGGAATAATTTGTTGATTTTATGCATGTAGTAGTCGATACTAGAAATTAAAATTCTAATAGAACAAGGCACACAACAACAAGTAAAGTAAAGTAAAGCAAACGGGATAGCTAGTCTTCATTAATCCAGTTTCATAAATGTGTGATTTATGAAGACAGAATAATCCAAGCAAAGAAGCAAAAGCTTCTACAACCAGAAATAGTTTACGAATATTAGATACAGAGTTGTTGTTTTGTTATATATAACATTCTAAGCTTGACTTAAAGGAGTCTTTGTGTACTACTGTCGAAAGAATTACTATTTTCTGACAGTAAAGCGTCTAATCTAGACTGAAGGTGTCAGATAATAGACCGGATTATTTCTTTTTTTAATTGTGTGTCAATCGGAGTCGTTTCGGTTTCTAGAAAACATCTCGTTAATAAATGAAAAGCTTACTGAAGCTGACCGATGCTAATGACACAATAAATGTTAGAATAATTTTCATACACAAGTACAAAAACAAGTCTTAATTGCTTAAATAGGAACGTCGATTTATTTTTTGAAATGATATTCTTTTTTTTGTCAAATTCAGCGTTTTGTATCACTGTATAATCGAAAATTGAGACTTCCTGGTACCCTTCTTCATTTTATGATGTCAAACTCAAAAAAATATAAATTCCAAATGGAAATATCAATTAATTACTTGAAAAGTTGGGCTAACTTTCTCTGAACGTCCTTGGTCTTGTTGGTTCTCTAATGACTGAATAGGTTAGTTTTCACCAGTAGTTTACGCTCAATAATTTTCTGATATGGCATAAATCGTAGACTACGCTTTTTAATTTTCTCGAGACCACATCAGACAGAGGACATTCGTTTTATTCTGTCAAAATATCCAGATGTTATCAATAATGAATAGAGCTGATGTTACGTCTCATTTTGTTTTCCTCGCTTTAAAAGTGTCAAACAAAAGTTCTAAAAATGTCAAATCAAAGGTAAGATAAAAAGTTCTTTAGCGTAATAAATACAATCCCGTAGTACTTGAGAATTTATAATGATGAACAAGATAAACTTTAACCATAAATATCTTTCTCAGATGACGTCGATACTAAGGTATATACTGAACATTTCATATTTATTCAACGATAAGAATAAAGAAAAAGAATAATAATTCAAAAACATAGTACAGTTTCACATCGAAGTATACTTGGTTTTTTAAACTATAGATCTTGGACGTATCACTTGTTTATTCTGGTACGTAACAAATAGAAAAAATAATGTAGAAATCTTGAAATTTTGGAGTAGTGGTCAGTCACTGCACGATACATCCAATAGGTTTATTTTTCGTATTGAAGTTACTATTCATTCATAGATCCTTTATTCTTGCTTTAAAGTCGATCCAACGTTCATATCATCTGAAAACAATTTTCTGTTGAAGACTGACGTCTTTTTATCGAACTAACAATCAAGATTATAATAAAATAATACACTCATTCTATGTTTGTCTATCTTTTCTGGGTATGACGATCGTCACAAACAATTTTACGAATAATATGTATTTATAGAAATGAAGTATATAGAGTACTATGGGGGAAAAAGAGATACCTTTTCAATTTTTTTTCATACTTTTATTAATTCTCAGTCATTTTTGGTCGGAAAAAACTTGTTGTTGAACATGGTGGTAGAGCAAACATTTTTCTACACGTTGAAGTAAAAATCTCTGACCGATTTTGAACCATATCCAAAATGCGAAGAGCCCCATGAAAGTGTCTCGTTTTCTTCCACTCGGCGGAAAAAGAGACAGTCCATTCAAATACACGGAGTTTGAATTAATAATTGATTGCTAAGTAAGCTTTAGAGATAATTAGTTGTAAAATACCTCATTTTGTAGCCAAGATATTCCTCTCCCTACCATATGATTTTGCGCTCATGATCGTTTGAATTCATTAAGCTAATTAAGACACAATCAACTGCACTTGAGATTGTCTTTTTTTTCTTTTTATGCATTGGGGGAAAAAGAGACATCTCATTAAAATACACAGAGTTCTCAGGGACAAACCTCTACTATGTCTCAGAAGCCGATTTTGATACTATGCCAAATGATAAAGTTGTTCAGAATTCTGAATTCTATAACATATGTGAAAATCAGCATATTACTTCACTGTATAAATTCTGATATTGTTTTCGAAATACATGTGATGTAAATTCGAGCATATTTTATACAATAAATTAATTATGATAATCATAGTCAAGCATTTTTAATATAACATCTTGTTCGTGTCATTGACCAGAATCTCCTCTATCGAATGCAAAAAATAATCAACTAACAACTGCGACAGATAGTCGAGATAATATCAAATTATTCGATAACCACACAGGTATGATTAACTGAATGGTCTCAAAAAAGTCTCCGACCTGAGAACTAATAAAAGTACGACAAAAAATTAAAACAGTGTCTCTCAAATTTTAGAAATTTGAATCCTATACTAAAAAATCTTCAAGAATTCTAAAACTCAGTTAAAAAACAGAATTTTCGTTCACGAACGAACTAAATGTCAGACTTTTTTTGCTATAACACGAGCCAAAATAAGATTTTCATCCCTAAACCAGTCGTTAAACTCCTGTTCTTCATTTTTTGCACTTTGGATATCTTCATGTTAGACATATAACACAGAGGGCAAATCTAAAAATTTGGAAGAACTACAGTTCTCTGCTTTGAATATAATTTGTACCCGATTAACAACAAACGTTTATTCAAAATGTGACAGCCTTCGGTTTAAAATTTTAATTATTATAAGTTACAGAAAAATACAGAAAAACATACGATCATACATATATATATAATTTCTTTTTCTTATTTTCATCTATTTTTGAACATCTATGAACTAAAACAGCAGTTTTCTATTAAGAAGTTATATCTTTGAATTAGAATAGTAAACGTTTGACTCTTTTAATGCTTCGTAGATTACTCTGACGTAGACGACAGGTAGTCACTATGGAGAAAAGACTTTACCAAGGAATGTGTCATGAAATCTATCCCTAAAGAATCGTGTCTTTTTTTGCTTTTTTTTTTGTACAAATGTTAAAATCACAACATGCTTGCCTCTTCGTCTAATGTTTCATTCTTAAAAAAACTAGTGGTTTCGTTGTCAAGAAGTAAAAAAACTAATCTGTTCAATGCAACATTTTTCTTTTTTTTGTATGTATAATAGTCAACTCTATTTTGATACATGTAACAGAATGAATCAAATAGTATACATGTCCAAGGTTAATGTGTGTCTAATTCTGTGTACAAATATCACTTATGTATATGTTTATTTTTTCAAGCACTTATTATTTAATCCAAATAAGTCTGTCTTTGATACTCAAAATTTTCTTTGTTAAACAGATTTCTATTCTTTATATACAGAAAGGAAAAAACGAGAATTTTCTTTATATACTAATGAATATTCGACTTTTTCTCTTTTTTTTTTCTTCAGTGTTATCCTAATCATCGATTTATAGGTTATTTATCTCACGTTTACGATGGAATATTTTTGTAGTACATAGAACCATAGTAGTTTCTTTCTCTTAGCTGGATAAAACAATCATATACCGAAAAATAATGCCTAAAAGAAAGAGAATTCCATTATTTGATGTGTACATAATGAGAAAAAAAAAAAAAGTTTTCGATAAGAGAAGAGTATACAGATATATTACGTAGATATAGGTCTGTGAAGGTGATAGATAATGGAACAACAAAAAAAAAAAAAAACAACAACAGAAAAGAAGCAGTAGCAGCGACAATGGTGGTGATGGTGATGGAGCGTATTTGGAGTGTGTATGCGCGTGAAAACTGATTTTAAATTGTTTTTTTGTACAAGGTAGGACAAATGTGACAAACTATGATTATTATTTTCATTTTTTCAAAATAAAAAAGAATCAATTTAATTGTGTGCCCTATAGATAGACAATGATAGTGAGAACAAAAAATCATCACGAACAAAATGATTTTTCTTTATTCCCTTTTCAGGAAATATATATATTTTTTTTGTCTTCAGGAGTGTTTGTGATGGATGATATTGTTTGATTAAATAGAAGAACATTTGTTTAATAAAATGAGTTGTTTTTCATAACGCAAATGTCAAGAAAATTTTATTTTCTAATAAAAACAATAAAAATATCTTTCTACGGAAACATATATGATTGAACTATTCGAACAAACATTAGTTGTTTTTCTTAATCATAGAAAAATGTATCAAAAATGATCAAAAAGATACTGATAAATTATTAAAAGTAATAGAAATAGTAGAAGTAATACAAGAATAGATTGAGTAAACTAATTTAAATATAAAATCTTTAAGATAAAAGTCTACATTATAATCTATTATGAATAGAGAGAAAGAGAGAGAGAGAATATTAATCACAATTTTTGCCACACTTATGAATGTAAATTAATAACCAGAATCATTCTCTCATTTTGTAATCTTTTGAAGCAGTATGCGTGCTTCCAAGCATCTTTTTTTTTATAATGTTGTTTTGTTTATTTTTAGTTCAATGATCTAGACGAAATGAGTATTCGTAATGCTCCAGTTGATATTGCTCAAACAAAAATTCTTCAATATCTTCGTACACATAATTATGATGATTGCATCATCTATATTAATCGTTTGAGTCCGTTAACATTTCGTACAATTCTTACAACATTATCAATTGATATTCTTTTAACACAATTACCATTTTCTCTTGAAATATTTGAAGTAATTTATTCAAAAATTTTTCTTCATGATCCCGAACAATTTCCTATACGTACATTGAAACCTGATCGTTTTCTATCAAAAATATTGGGTATATTTGCTTCAGCAAATATCCCTAATGATCAACTACCATCTCGAAAAGAATTGGATCTTGATAAATTAATGACAAATTTAGAGAGTATTCTACGAATTATTACCTACGTTCAACCAATATTATTCAAACGATTATTAAGGCAAAAAGAAACAATTGATAATTGTCTATTCTATTTTGAATGTCATACGGTTCAGACATCACCTACACCAACATTAACAAATCGTACACAATCGTTAACAACATCATTAAATCCATTAAAATTGAATTATTTACAAGAAATGTTACGAACTGAAATCGAAACAACAATAACATGTTGTCATAATGCACTGCAAAAATTAAATGAATATAAAAAATTACAACCAATATTAACATCATCAATGGAGGGCTACTATTCTGATATGGAAAAATTACAAAAAATTTCATCTTCACCTTCTACACCGGCAACATCTACTCATTCAACACCTATTTTTAAAAAAAGTCATCAACAACATTTAAATTATTCTACTCGTTCAAGTTTTCATTCATTAAACGATGTACAAACTCGTTTATTTAATCATAAATCCATTTTAAACGTTGTTGAACCATTTCTATCGAAACCAAAATTATTTCACATTATTAATAGTTTAAATGAAAAAGTCAATGTTGACAAAGAAATTTTATTAGCCTATTCACATATTAAAACGCAAGAAAAACAAATAACAACAAATGATGCCTTATTGCCCTTATTTAAACGATACGCATTAGCTTATGAACGTAGGTATTCAACCTAATTTCCATTAAACCATCGTATATAATACTTATCTTCGTTTCTCTTTTTCTCTATTTTAGGTATAATACAATTATGGCGAAAAGTGAGTGATAGTACGTTAATTGACGATTGTGCTGATGATATACAGATTGTTAATGGAGAACGATTGAATATTTTAGAACGAGCTAGATCTGGTATGTATTCATTTTCAACATAGAGAGATATTTTTATTAATGAGGTACTATGACAGAAAAACAAAATGATTTTTGTTCCAAATAAAGCTGATTATTTTCTTAATAAACAACAGTTTCAAAACATCATGTTCAGTAGACAGAAATATATGTATAGAATGTTCATAATGAATATGCTGATACGAAAGAATTTAAAGATAATAGAATTTTATCCACGAACTGTCTTCGGTATACAGAAAATACTAATCGTTTCTTGTCATTTCGTAAGGAATTTTCTTATACTTTCCAGGCATTATTTAAGTAGTAGTTTGTTTTCCTCATAAAAGCGCTTGTTATCTTACGCCATCTGTATACACGTGTATCAGTCGATGGAATCCAATCTTTATATTTCATTGCAAGCTAGTGGTACCACTACTATCGTTTGAGCATCCGACTAACCAAAGCTGTCTCTATTATACTGTCTTTTCAAATCTCTTATTTTGCTAGTGTAAGCACTGGAAAAAATCTTTTCTAATGATTACACAGCGCATCGTCTTGTTATATCATTATGTGATTAAATCATACCCAAGTCAACTTTCTTATCTTTCTCGCGTCGCGACAAGTGCACGTAACATGATTATGGTTACGATCACGAAATAAGAGTCTTATTTTAAGATCGCGCTTTTGTCGCGATTCATTCGCTGTTTTCGAACCTATGTAATGTAGAAATCCCGTATGTCATATAATCGACGTAAGTAGCTTTTTGAATCTTAGACTCTCGGGAAGTCATGTCGTAATCAGGAATTATTCGCTAGTGTCATAGCCCAGTCTTACATTCCCACAATTTTTGGTTTCCACTCTAGGTTGATCGAGAAATCGAACATCAGCATATTCCTCCTTCGTTCTTCAGCAGTAACCTTATTTTTTACTTTACTTTAATCGCTTCAGTTTAAGTTTTGCCCGTCCCTCCCCCTCAGAAATTATCTCCGACATCGTACATCTGATCTTGACGAAACTTTCCATGGCATAAATGTTAGGTTTAATGAATTACGGGAATGAAAAGACTTTTTTGCCTCCAAGTCTTACAGTTCAGGAGTTTTCTAGAGATCAAGGTCTAAAAAGGACCCGAACGTTTTTCCCAAGATTTTTTAATATACTTCAAGCTGGAGAGTTTTATTTTAACTAGACACCTAACTACATGGACTGACCGGCGCCGATTTTTCAATTAAGCCTTTGTTGGTTTTAACCTCCAAAACTCGAAAAATCCTTCTGAATTTTCTAAAAATCCTCAATTTGACAAAACACTAAGACCTAATTCAAAAATCGGCGTCGGCCAGTCGATGTAGTTTCTTTTTCTCTTTTAAACAAAAAAAGAATAAACTCTCTACGACAAACCGCTATTAAAAGTCTTTGGAAATACTTCAGATGTAACTCTTATATAGAGAAATCTCCAGCACTTTTCCCCCTTCAACAATTGCTTGTCTTTTGCCGACGATGTTTTTCTTCTTGTCCCTGTACACGATTTTACTAATTTGGTAAATGCTCAAAATGACCTGGATGCGATGTCGGACTGGTGTGACAAAATGCTAGTAAAGTTAAACATCGATAAGTGCGTTTTTATGCCCTTTTCAACAGCTACACCATCGTCTACTCTAGGAAGTTCGCTCTTTTTATCAGGACAGGCTCTGGTCAAGGAAAACAATATTAAGTTGTTAGGAGTTTTTTTACTGCATAATCTAACATGGAAATATCATATTTCTAATGTAGCCAAAAAGTGTAGAGGGATGTTAGGCGCAATGCACCGTGCATTTAACACCGCACCATCTTCTCTTCGTCTTCACGTTTTTGAAACGTGTATAATGCCAGTTATGGACTATTGTTCTGTTGTTTATGATACTGCAAAAACGCATCTACATCCACTAGACTCTGTTCAAAAGGTGGTAGCCAGAATAATTTGTAATGACTATGAAACGATCAGTTCATTATTACTGAACAAATTAAATTTTCCTGACTTAAGTGAACGACGAAAATATTTTCGTTTGTTACATTTTCATAAAATTATAATAGGAAACAGCACTCTCTCAAGATTTAACATGATCACACCGTTAACTAGCAGGACGTCGGATAGGTTGAATAATCGGTGCCATCCCGAAAACAAGCTTAGAAGCAACAAAACACTCTTTTCTTCCCCGCGCATGTATAGAGTGGAATCTCTTGCCGCGATCCGTGATATCCCAGTTTGCCATAGGAGCATTTAGGCGAAGGCTTAGACTGTATTTAAATATGTAGTTCTTACAACGGTAATTAGAACATGTAATTCTCCGTTTCAAGTTTTTTCTTTTTATGTGCAACATTTCCTTGGTTTTTTTCTTTTTTTTTAATCTTTTCCTTACACAGGAGTTACATTCATTTAAGTTTCCCTTTTTTGTAACAACCTAGACACATTCGTGTTCAAATAAAAAACCTATTGATTGATCGATTGATTTGTCAGAAAAATTTGCTCTACAAATCTGTGTGTTCAGAAAAATTTTAATTGCATACGTATCCAGGATAAAACTATTGTTTGAAGACCCGGTTTTTCGAGGAGCCTAGAAAACTTGCTCAAAATCTGCGAAGAACCACTTTTGTAACCAAATGCGATACAGATTCTGAAAGTAGATACTTCAGGCTATCTTTCCACGTGCGTACCTCAAAGCTGATTTTTTGACCGAAAATCACCATTTCCGACGAGGAAGGGGCACTTAAAAGCATTCATTTTCACTTGTAATCCTTCAAAACTTGAAAGTGAGAATGAGGAAAACTGCAGTCTACTAGAAACATTCGTTAATAATATATACCAGAGTTGGAACTGTTTGAAAAAAATTCAATTGGATCGGATAGACCGGGTTGGAAAGCTAAACCAGATCGGAAAAAGGTTTCTTAAATCGGTGAAGACCGACCTAAAAACGTTTGGTTATTTTTTAAAAAATATTTGCTTTTCACTGGTTTCTGCCACTAAAACAAGCCTTGTAAACTTCTTTCAAGAGATGAAAATATAGGCACTTGTCGACGATGAATAAATAAGGCAGTCACAGGTTCATTAGACAAAATATAAACAAAGTGTACAAAAATATAATTAGTTACACTGTGTATATGTGACAGTGCTGCCGAAGAAAATGATACGTAATCATTGTCTCTTTAGCACATTATCTCCGCCTTCTTGTTTGTCAGCACTATATCAAATATACACAGTGCAACTAATTATATTTTTGTTCACGTTGTTCTATTTTATCTGACGGAGATGCCGTTGACATTGAAACATGACAATGAGAATAAAGAGTCTGTAAAATAGATACTCCTATACACACTGTCACAACACGAACAAAAATGACAACGGTTCTGACCGATTTCTTTTTTTATACTATTGTGTGGATAAGTAGAAAAAATAAGAAAAATGAATAAATCGTAACTAATTAATATGTATTCATAAATACATGTATATGGCTCATTACTCGTTAAATGGTTCGATTTTCCTTGAAATCCTTCTTGAAATCATAGGCGTTATTAGGTGAAAATAGAAGTCTGTTTTGTTTATGCTTTTGAAATTTACATGCAAAAAAAGAAAATCACGTGTGTTCCATCTCTTTTTGCTGAAAAAGTGATTTGAAAAGAAGCAAAAACCTAAAAAAAGTTTTCTAAAGGTAAATTGGTGGGAAAATGGTCAAAACCGGCAGATTGAAAAGTTTAATCGGATCGGATTCAACTCTAATACAGACCATAACGCAGGACTCAAACTGGAAGTGTTAAAATTAAAGCGAAATAATAAGATTATTGTTCAGAGACAAATGAGCAATATGCTGATATTCGGTCAACTGTTAATAAACATTGTTTTCTAGAATCATATTCGAAAAGTAATGCATCGTGTTTTACTTGGTCTTTTCTTTGAGAACACTATACATCCTAACTAAAGGTGTGTGTTTTGAGGATATCACTGGATTAAATATTTTTTGGCGATGTTTTGCAGAAATTGATATGAGCAGATGCAAAGTCTAGCAGACGTCATTCTTCCCATGGATTGACTGTCTGTGATAAGAAATGACGAAGTTACGATATTTACTTATCGAAGGAAAGACGCCAAAAGTCTGATAAACACGCATATTTTGTAACCGATTTCCATAACCGTTAAACATCGTCCCAAAATTTGGTTTTGTACCTAAAATATTAAGACTTGATTCTAGTCTTTAATGGCTTGTTTGAACCGAGTAACAAAACTAGTTTGAAAACTAAAAATTACACTTTCTTCTATGAAAAGTGCTGAGCAGCTCTGCTTTTTATAGCTTTCAGCGTTTCTAATGCTGTAGAACAACGGGAAATACTTATTTCAAAAGGTACTTTCAGCATCGAAATAAAATTTTCTGATCAAGCTTAATCTGAGAAAAAAGCCGGCAATTTAATTTGGACAACCCGTTATTCATGTGCCATGAGAAATTTTTCAGTTTTTTAAGACAGCGAGTTGCAGGGCGTCTATGATAGTGAGTCTTGTCTTGAATCTAAAATTCTTGATATTATGATGAATATTTTCTCAGTGCGCGAACCCCATAGCAACTTTTGGCATGACAGTTAGACAAAGTTGGTATGACTGTAAAACTGGAAGTTAAAAATGATCTTCTCACCACAGCAACTTATAGCGCGACTCTCACGACTCACGGTCGATCACGATAAAAAAAACTGCCGCGATGTGATCGCGTTCAAGCCTTACTTGACCAAATAAGAATTCATTGTGATCACGGCCTGAAATTGGGATTTTGTAGCGATATGAGAGAGCGAAGCATAATCCTGTCACGATGTCCACGAGCATGCCATGGGTGAATCAAGATTGTCAACTTGGTTTAGGATTTCTCTTCTGAAGCATGAGAACATTGTGAAAACTTCTATGTCGAACAAATTCTACGTTTCAACCTAGGTTCAGAAAAACTGACAGTAAATGGCCAGTTAAGTGATATTCAAAGAACGCTTTTAAAATGAGGATTGAAATGACTTGAAACGACGTAAAAATGGTCAAATAACG